CTTGTGGAAAGCACTTCCCCGTGCTTTCCACAAGCACAAGGTGCTGCTTACCCCGACACCAACATCTGCCCATCGTATGAAAATGCACAAGCCAGAACTGGGGCAGAATGTCCATTCAATGTGCATTTATATTTTAATTTAACACCTAAAAATACGAAAAGGAAATTATTACATACGGGCATATCTGACAAGGTAGAAGACAAACTGCTTTTAGAAGCATAAAGCTCCACCAAAGATGTGACTCTGTGACATACCATCTACAAAGACCACAGAGACAACTTAATTTGTTGTCTCTGTGGTTCCTCACTTTGTAGTCTTAGCATGTCTCACAGTGTTTTAGATATTAAATGCATATCTGTACACACACTATTCATCCTTACAGACTTTTATATAAAAGAGATTATAAAAAAGTACCCTCTGTAGATGTTTTTGGCCATTTACCCCGTCTCTACATTGCAGTTTTAGGAGGAACCACTACTCTTTTCATTTCTCCAGCAATTGCTCAAGGCCCAGGACATACTGAAACATGAAAGCAAACCTCTCCATGGCCTGGCAGATTAAGAGGTTTCAACCTATTGACCTGTTCAAAGGCCACAGTAGATTTTTTTTTTTAAATCTTTACTTATACTGTTATTGATAAATAGATGGCTAAATAAAATCTACATGGGGCAGCAGCATCAAGTGGTGAATGCCTCAGCTGCTCTCCTGCTAACAGTTCAGAAAACTTTCAACTTGTGGTTAGTTTGGCTGTGAACCCAGCAGTATAATTTTGATCTTCGATTTAAACTGTCACTAAAGACTTAAGACATTGGTATATGAAAAAAACATTGCTGTGCTCACCTAAGAAATCTGCAAATAAAATAAACCAAAGCTTGATCTGATTATCTTGTCCACAAGAAGCCATCTGGAAGTATTTGAATTCATTTTCATTATCTGATAAAACTAAAATATATTAATGGGAGTTAGAAGCACTGAAAATAACAGCATACCAGTAAACTACATCAGCAAAAAATCCTTACAGAAGTTCTAAAATTGCTTAGAAGAAAGAAATCAGTATCATTGTTATACTGTTTCCTGAACAAGTAGATAAAGACCAGAGCTGTGCTCATATTTTAAGTTTTCTTGATGGTAAATGTTTGATTCCTCTATCTACTGAGTGCACCAACATACTCTTTTTAATTTTAATTCTATGGTTATACTAATTTTCTCTACAGTTCAGTAGTCCTCAAAGTTATCACCTTGTTTATTGACCTAGTACATTCTTTGCCACCTGCCTGACCACAGCTTTTACTAAAAATATTCACAATAATTTAAACGTCAACTCTTCCCAAGGTCATTTGTATCTTGAGCATCGCTAACAAAAATAATATGAAAAGAAGAGCTAGAAAGAACTTTTTTTTTTTTTAAATGTTCCTCCCCTGATGAGTTAAGTAACTAACCAGATACTGGATTTGAAGAAATATCACAGCAGGTAACACCAAGATCATGTGCTTTTTCATTATACAGGCATCTCATTTTATCATCCCAAATGGTTAAATCACCACTTGATGATCCAGTGACAAAGAAATTTCCATTGGGAGAAAATGCACAAGCCACCAAAGAACCATCTTTAACATTTCCAGACCTGAAAAGCAAGAGTACACAGGATTTGAATTTAGAATAAGTACAATTCTGAAGAAGTGATCTCTCAAACACCATCTGATACAATAAGCCAAACTTCTAAGTTCTGCACATCGGGACTTGGTAATACAAGGAAGAGAAACTCAACCCAGCTACGGGAAGAGATGCACTGCAGCAGGGAACACACCTGCTCTTTGACTGCAGGAGGAAAAACATGAGATGGCACCCCAAGGCAATCATTTTAACTGAGGGATAATTTTCAAACTACTTGCATGGACTTTACATTTAAAAGTAACATTCTACGGCAGGGTACATTTTAAAAGTCAAAGATAAATGCACATTATCATAACACAGATTTACATGTACACAAACAAGGGAAAAAAGATTCCCACAATTCCTCTGTTCTGTTTTTAAAGACAAAACAGAACACCTACTAACCCATATCATAAGCTGTAGCTGAGGAGAACACTTTGTGATTTATGATGCAGAGTTAATTCTGAACAACATGTACACAAGAGAAAGCAATGTGGAAAAAAAGTCTCTATCTTAACTAAGCCAAAGCACTTTGTAGAACTGATCTTTAAAGAAAATTTCTAGCAGATACAGAAGTGTGGTCAATCCTCAGGAGGGAAGTGGGGTCAACCTGACATCCTTTACCTTATCTGATAATAACCTAAAGTCAACTGAAAGTGTCTCACTCCTTTTATCGGACAGCAGATCCAGCCCAGCAGAGCTGAACCTACAAGTGCAGGAAGAAAATCAACAGCCATAAGCTACAGTCACATAGCAAGAAATGTCTGTCTTATTTACTCTGTCATTGTATCTTGTAGAAGCTGCTCATTCTCTTTTGCTGATAGAAGCTTTATTTACTGTGAGAGGTGTCAGACTTAATGTCACAGAAGTCAATAACTCTCCCCGAGAGTCTTGCTAATCAGACCCAGGACTTTCTACAAAGCACTGACTCCTTTAATTCTATCATTAAGAACACTATCAAATCCACTACTCCCATTTTCATATGTAGAATCCTTTTTCCTTAGTGCAGCTTTTAAAACTTTCCTTCTTTCACACAAAAAGTTGCAGATTCTGCTCTGAAAACGTAACAGTAACATAAACAGCACTGTACATGTTCAGAGTATGCATTTAAGACTTGTGGGCCAGATATTAGTATGGGAACTACTGAACAGAAAAGAGAGACCACTAAGAAATACACATAAATTAACTTGCTTTCATGATGTTCACATCCATCACACAGATTATTTAAATAGCCATCTTACTCCACAACTTGAACAGTCAATTACAACAGCAGAGCAGATAAGGAATAAGTGGCTACCTTTGTTCTAATTACCATCCACATATTTGGTCAAGTGACATAACAGTGTGGCAAAAGGTGTTCTCTTCTTCAACATCAACACAATCAACTGTTGCAAAAGAAACAGAGGACCACAGACTGACACTAAATGGTTAACTAACATCCTCTGACATAATTTTTAAGTACCTTGATAATTTCTATGTAATATTGATCTCAGTGTTTAAAACCAGGACATGTGCATTTTTCTATCTGCAGTTACAAATGACAGTAAAAAAATTTCATCAGCTGAAAATACATACACACACACACATCCCAAAATACATATAATTAAAGTTAAGCTGACTACTGCTGGCCGGTTAACACACTGAAATGAACTTTTAATAGCTGAAGGGGACAGGATTGGGATGTTCAAGTTCTTTCTTACTTCTCTACAATGCAAGCAATGTCAAAGCAGAATACTAAGGACTGAAATTCCAAATTTTTCTTAAAGATAAAAATAAGAAAAAATATGTAATCACTACTTCTTTATTGTCTGAAAACAAAACAACCACTTCAGCATTTCTTTATGCATTAGAAAAACCACGGTGGCAAAAATCTATAAGAATTCTGTTTATGGACAAATTTCCAGATTTACACTATTTCAAGTAACTACAATAAATCATTTTGGAAAACTTTACAGTTCCCATCTAAATCACTGCTGTGAAAGGCAAAGGCAGAGAGGCCACAAAAGCAGTAACAAGCTTGACAAGGGATTACCAACACCAAACAACCTTGGCTTTCACAAATGGCTGCTCCTTCAATCCTAAGTGAAAGTTCAATTCACTCAATCCTTAACTACTTTCCAAACTTTGAAGAGTAGTTGTGTAATTGCAGCTCTAAAACCTAAATAACATCTTGCCCAAGTACAGATTACAACAACTGGCCTGAAGACTTTCCTGAAAGACAGAGATGTACAGTAGGACTTAGAAGATCACTCTGAGGTTCATACCTTTAACTGTGCAACATCAATAAATATAATCATCTGCTTTGTTTCAAATGTTTCTTGGAAACCCATGTCATACTTAACTCATTTAGCTCCAATAATCCTTTCTGTCACTGTTATGTCTCAAATTGCATGGTTTCAGGACACGTCCATAGTTTCCAAACTCTGACTGCTGGATTACTATCAAGCTTCTAAGACCTTCCTGGACTCCAAACTCCTAGTAATTAAATATTTAATTTATACCACTATGTATAATACAATATGAAGTACACAGTACAGTCAGGCTCCATTAACTAACTGTATATTATGTATCGCAGTTTGCTGACTCGCTGTTTAGGAACCAGATGAAATGCAGTACACTATGCATCATGATTTCGTGTTAAATCAATGAAATGAACTTTTAAAAAAGTCAGGATTTAGATGCAAGATAACTGAGTAAAAATTAAAGCTTCTTGAGTTTGCATTAACATAAGAAAAACCCAAAAGAACCCAAAACCAAACCAACCAACCAACCAACCAAAACCAAAATCCAACAACAACAAAAAACCCCACCAAAAAAACCAAAAAAGACTCTGCATTTCTCCCAATCTTAGGGTCTCCCAAGTCCTATCCCCGTTTCTTCGTGATACCCATCAGCGGTGTAAGCCTGCGAGTCCTGTGCACAGCACAGCACACTACTCACACTACACTCCTGCAGGCCAGGGACGGGTCCGAGAGCCCCTGGCACTGACCTGTAGAGCTGGAGCGACCGGACGTCCCAGAGCACGAGGGTGCCGTCGGCGGCCCCCGCGAGCAGGCGGGAGCCGCGCGGGCAGAAGCGGCACACGCGGACGGGGCTGGCGCGCGGCTGCCCCAGCACCGCCAGCCGGCGGCCGTCGCGCGTGTCCCACAGCGCCGTGGTGCCGTCCGTGGAGCACGAGGCCAGCACGCGGCCCGACGGCGAGAAGCAGCAGCAGTGCACCGCGTACGTGTGGCCGCGCAGCGGCGAGTACGGCAGCTCGGCGAAGTCGCTCAGGGAATACACGCGAACGGTTTTGTCCAAGGAACACGTAGCCAAGCACGACGATGAGAAGGCGCAGTAGTTGACGTCATCACTGTGATCTGATAAACTGTGAATTAGTGTTGCCATTTTCAAATAAAGAATCTGAAAAAGAGTTCAACAGTCAGACTTAACTTCCCTATTTCAGAAGTGAAAAAACACATTCTCCAGGAAAAAAAAAAAAAGGAAAGAAAATTCATTTGCAAAGGCAAATTTTTCATCTAAGCATCATTTAGGCATAGAATCACAGAACAGTCTGGGTTGGAAGGGACCTTAAAGCTCCTCCTGTTCCACCCCCTGCCATGGGCAGGAACACCTTCCACTAGCCCAGGTTGCTCCAAGCCCCGGACACTTCCAGGGATCCAGGGACAGCCATAGCTTCTCTGGGCAACCTGTGCCAGGGCCTCCCCACCCTCCCAGGGAACAATTTCTTCCTAATCTCTAATCTAGACCTACTCACAGTTTAAATCCATTCCCCCTTCTATCACTATATGCCCTTGTAAAAAGTCCCCCTCCAGCCGCCTTCTAGAGTGTGGCTGGAGCATTTCACAGTGAAGACGGAG